AGTAATGGAGAGTAGATTGTGCATTGTAGCAACATCTGTCCCGTCAGAGAGGGTGTTCTCAAAAACTGGACAAATTGAAGTATTCCAAGTTGAAGTATTTCGTTTTGTTGACTGCAAATTTAAAATAAAGCAAGGAGTAGCTTATGTTTGTTTTGTTCACTGCTGCTGTTCCAGTTAATACTCACTATTTTTGTTAAGATGCAGCATGTTTGATTGTTGTTGGTTGGAGTTTAATTTTGTTGCTTGTTTATTGTTTGGAGCCTTTTTAATGTTCAATAAAATAAGTAAAAAGCCATTTCTTTGCTTGATAATTGTTGCTATTTGCAGTCAGTAGAGTGCAATATTTAGTTCACCAAGTCATTTATCAAAATGTATGCTAAATTTGTCATAAATATTTAAAAGAAAAGCTAAAGTTAAAAGAGCCGTTGAGAGCCAAAAAGAGCCGGCTCTTTTCACTGAGCCGATCCAAATGAATCGTATCACCGAAAAGAGCCGAAAATCCCATCACTACTGCACGCCTGTGACCCTCGTGAGGATAAGTGGTTGTGATTATGAATGGATGCCTGTGCCTCATGTAATAATGGGATATGTTTTAACCTGTGTCTATGCACTCATGTGTGCGAGGTAGGAGGTGGTTGCATTTAATTCTCATCAAGAACATCTAAGTTGCATCCTATGTATGAAAAGCTATATAGAAAGAGTTTGATCGATTAATGTATCCCTACTGTTCATATAATAGACAAGTTGAGTCATGCGACCCAGTTCATTTGTCCATCTTTCCCCAATATCGTTTTATTGCAACATATAATTGAAGAAAGGCTTTCTATTTTACTCGAGTTCACTCAGCAGCAGGAGTGTGTTGGGATTGTGACAATTCAGTAATGACTTCACTGTGTGGATTGGAACAAGTACAAAGCTCCACTTTTGAACATTTGTTGTCAGCAGACTGAAACGGAGAATAAACTCCAAGATTGTCCTCCAGTGGCTTAAATTTGGGGGAAAAAAAACTAATTGAAAAGGATATCGAGTAGGATACAAACGACTAAGCTTAAGCATCATTAAGGGTTGTGGGGCAACAGTAAGGATGTTTTCATGGCGCTCACTGTGATGAGGGTCAGCGGACTTTGGTGGCCACACCCTGGACTGGTCACCAGCCAATTACAGGACAAAAAACATCCTAGTCACAACAACAGCAATTTAGAGTATCCAGCATGTTTTGGGAAATTCAGGAGGAAGGCGGCGTACATGACTAGAGAGAATATGAAAACTCCTGCTGAGAATTGACCCTCGAATTTCACAACTTCGAGGTGGACATGCTAACCACTAGATCACAATAATTCCTGCAATTATAAATGAAAATTGACAGTTGTGAGCCCGCATTGGGGTCGGCCCAGTAGTCGAGTGGTTAGTGGGTCGACCTCACAGTGCAGAGGTGCAGGGTTCGTTCGATTTGGGCTCTGGCCTTCCCTGTGTGGAGTTTGCATGTTCTCCCCGTGTCCGGGTGGGCGTCCTCCCAAATTTCAAAAACGTGCGTCGCAGGTTAATGGAACACTCTAAATTGTCCCGAGGTGTGAGCGCAGATAGTTGTTCGTCTCTGTGTGCCCTGCGATTGGCTGGCAATTGGTTCAGGGTGTCCCCCGCCTACTGCCCAAAGACAGCGGGGATAGGCTCCCCTCCACGACCCTTGTGAGGATAAGCGGATCAAAAAAAAATGGATGGATCCCACATTGGTTTTGTAGGAAAACATTTTTTAAAAAGGCAGAGACCCGGTATGAAAAAGATAAATTTATTTCATGACGTTAAAACAGAAAAGGTAAAGGGGGGTCCAGTTGAGGGAGAGCAGCAAGATGACGGCAACTCCACATGAAGAAAATGCTCACGTTTATTAACAAAAAAAAAAGAGGAAAGACGACTTACCACAAGAGGACATACGGACAAACAGATGACAGGAGAAAAAAAGAAAACAATCCGACCAGGAGGAGGAGGAAGAGGAGGAGAGAAGACTTGTTTGAATCTACAAAGACACCGCCTTGCCACAAGTTTGACAACCACCCGTTGTTTTTGGAAAGCAATTTGACAAACAATAAGGATCATCTCCATGTAATATCAGTAGCATCCTGGTCACTGAGGAGGAGAGGTGGTGCAGATACGCTGGCCAATTGGCTCACCTCTCTCAATTTATTGAAGAAATCCCGCAAAGAACATTTGACTGACTGAACTGGGTGGGAGGGGGAGGGGGGAGATCCATCTGAGAGTCTTCACAAGGCTGCAAGGGGAGCTTGTTGTAACATCAATAAAAAACAGTCAACTCAGGTGATGAAACACGTGTCCGTTGCACAGTCGTCAGGAATCCGTGGTGGCGGGGGGGACTGTAGGATGTCCCAAATTCCGGGGCTTGGGAGTCTTCAACAGAACCCGGAGCTACATAACTTGGTGGCACATCCGTTGACGACAGATTTGGCTGTCTTGTCCGGGGCTACACAGGCAGCTGCAAAACCAGCTGTCAGTCGGAAGATGGGGCACTAAGAGATGGGGGGGGGGGGTTCTGTTCACATGACGCTAGATGGCTTGTCAACTGCCTAGCGTGGATCCGTGTGAACAGGTAATGTGCGTGTATGTGTGTGTGTGTGTGTGTGTGGTGGAGGTGAGCGACTGGGCGAGCGGACACTAAAACAAGAATGGCGAAGACACTGACAGATAACGCCTTGACGAGTAACCGGGTGAGACTGCGAGTGTGAGTCTCACACGTACGTTTGTTTTGCGTGTTTATAAGGCTGCGGCCACCTCCACACCCTCCTATGCTCATGTTCATCCACCCGCCTCGGTTCCTCGCGGCTGCCCGACAAGACAGTCCGATATCACATCCATAGTGTCTTCAAATAGTCCGACTAGACCGAGCCGAGCTGTTTCGACCCGATCCAAATGCCTGCCGAGTGGTTGACCAACCGACACCCCAGTCACCAGACCCCTCCCCCCCACCCCCTTTGGCTTATATCGGTGAGTTCTTAGCACATGGAGATGGTCACGTTGATGCCTAAGTTGCCGTTCTCGGCAAAGAGCTGCGCGATGGACGTGTCGAAGACCAGACAGTCGCTGTTCATGATGGCGGTGGCGATGCCCTCGTGGATGGAGCGCGGCGTGGCCTCCCAGGTCAGGCGGCGCCGGTGGCCGTTGAGCTCCAGCCGATACGCAAAGTTCTCCGCTTGCTTGCGAGTCCCAATGAGCTGCACGATGGCAAAGAACTGTTGGTGGCCGTCGTATTTCTCCTGCTTCTCCAGCACCAGCATGAAGTGGAAGCCGAAGCACGACTGCATCATCACCCAGTCCACTGCGCCGGGCAGGTTGATGTCCGTGGCCAAAAACACGATGTCCTCCCCCTGGAAGAGACAATAGGGATGCTCACTCAGTTCAGCTACAAGCCGGTAAGAAGCTTTATATCAAGCACAATTCTGAAGATCAGCCAAGTTTACTCGATGGGGCTGAACAAATAATTGCATCCACATGAGTACGTTGGCCACCACCCTTGATGACTGTCACCTGTGTGAACATATTTAGACCATTATTAATTGTTTCGGCTTTCGTTGCACATTATTTCCCCTTCAGGATAGATATATAGCAGCACAGTGGTTAGCACATCCGCCGCACAGTGCAGAAGTGCAGGGTTCGATTCCGACTCCGGCATTCCTGTGTGGAGTGTCCATGTTCTCCCTGTACCTGCGTGGGTTTTCTCCGGGTACTCCGGTTTCCTCCCATTCCAAAAAACATGCGTGGCAGGTTAATGGAACAGCCTCCCTAGGTGCGAGTGAGAGTGTGAATGGTTGTTCATCTATGTGTGCCCTGTAATTGGCTGGCAGCCAGTTCAGGGTATGCCCCGCCAACTGCCTGAAGACAGCTGCGATAGGCTCCAGCACACCCGCGACCCTTGTGAGGATAAGCGGTTCGGATAATGGCTGGACGTACGGATGGAAGTAAGTGTTCGGGTTTCAAGCTGTAGGGTCTGGGTTTCAAATTGGGATTTGAATCTAGGGTTAGGAAGTGGCTGGCAACCAGTTCAGGCTGTGTGTACACGCACACACAAGAAAATAAATGCTTCCTCTTGTAAAAACACCCCTCGAGTCAAAACATGCGTAGTATCGCACAGAGGAACCTCGATTTAAAAGATCCGGAACCAATGGACTCCAGCTGTAACCGACAGAAAACAGTCCCCCCAAAATGCCCCTTTGTACAGTAGCTGTCCAAGTCTGTTAGTTCCAGAAACAGCCGCAATGGACTCTATGCACGGCAACTCATTGCATATTTCTGGTGGAAAGATGCAGAGCTTCGATTTCCATGTATTCCAAGTTACCGGGATGCCATCTGGAGGAAAAATAACCTCATTTTAAAAAATTGTGTTAACGTGAGTTTTTGTAAGGGGGTTTTCTCGAGCTCGGAGGTGGCGCTGTTCAAGGTGGAAATGTCATCCGAAGTCGTGGTGTCACAAAGTCTGTTTCTTAGAGGGAATTAAACTTACGCCTCACTTTTGGGAAAAATAGTCACTACAAGGTAAGCAGATGTAGCGACCAAATTAGCAACCCTGACTGTGCTCCTCTCTGGTGGAAGCAATGTCAGTGAAAGCAGAGCGCATCAGCAGCAATGCTGATTTGAAAAAAAAATCTGGGCCAAAAAAATAAAATCAATCAATCAAATAAACAAAAAAACGACAACAAAAACTCAAGACGCCAATGCAAAACAAAATCTGAAAAAAAAAAAAAATGTCAACTACATTCCAAATCCCAATCGCAATATTTGGTGTACGTGTGTGTGTGTGTGTGTGTGTGTGTGTGTGGGGGGGGGGGGGGGCTTTGAATTTGTATATTTGGCATCTAAGCAATTTTTGAACGAAAGAAACAAAACAATCTAGTTAAGCTGCCTCTCCCTTTGATCATGCTGGAAGCATGACATGAAAACATTGACAAAAGCGCCACCGTGTGGACAATCTGCTGAGTGGCGAGGCGAAGGCTGACCTGCAGTGTGGTGATGGACTTGTGCTGGTGCATCAAGTGAGGCATGACGGCATCCAGGGAGCCCTGCCACTTGCAGGAGGCGCCGGGGCACGGGCACGAGTACGGCCGGAACTCGCACAGCTCCTCGTGCTCCGTCTTGTCGGTGTGCGGCAGTGTGACTTCGCAGCCCGACGAGGCGTATTTGCACGGGAAGAGCACCGAGTTGGCCACCTTCTCCATAGCCAAGTTCCTGATGGAGCCCAGCGGCCCTCGACATGTGGGGCAGCAGGTGAGTTTGGGCCGACAATTGGAGCATACCTGAGAAAGGCGGGCACACGGACACAAAATGACTTTGGAGGCGAGAGGATTTTGAACACTAAGACCAGACAAAGTCGATTGCCGCCCGAGTGAGAATAAGAGTCCTGTGCGCATAGCAATCAAGCTCCATCCAAAACGTATGTGCGAGCCCAATAATGAACACGTCTTGACGGACACTGGCCATCAAACGGTACTTTCCTCTGCTTTGTGCAACATCTTGGATGGTGAAGAGACAAATGTTTCATCGTCTTGCCAGCAACAGCTCATTTCACTTGGCAGTCACTGTGAATTTTTTTTCCTGCCGCCTGACAGGCCAACAGGAAGTATTGTTGGATTTTTTTCTTGTGATTCCACCACTTGTTCTCTATTAAAAACAGCATTTCAGTGAGCCCTCACACCTCACAGAGTGACAGTCTGTTGAAGCAGCAGCTTTCCATTTCTCTGACAATATTTTCATTTGGTTTGAATAGCCTCGATGATCACAAACGCCCCAGATGCTGTTTATAACGCAGCAGTTTTGAACCCAGAGCACAATATTGCTGCTTTATGGGTCATTTGGACAGCAACATTTTGAGCGCTTGTCAAGACCAAAACTTTGAAAGCGCAGAGAAAGACAATATACCGTATATCATATATGATATATAATGCAGATGTCAAAGGGCATCGATTTGATTTGATTTTCATGCTATTTGGTGATGAATAAAAACCAAATCAGGCAGTTGGTCAATTGGGCTGGAAGGCCCCCAAACAATGCAGCAAAATGATATGCAAGGTGCATTTTGGCACCCATTGTGATCTGTTCAACTAGAAATGTCCAAGCGGGAGATTCCATACCAGGTGTCCCGACTGGCACTGAAGGATGGGGGGCAGGACATAGTCGAAGCACACTGGGCACTCAAACAGGCTGGCCAGGTCACTGTTGGAGGCGGTGGTCCCTGACAGGGTGGGCACGCGCTGGGAGGCAGGGCACTTGGATGTTCCTGTGGGCAGCGCGGTGGCAGTCTGGCGACTCATTTCTGATTTGGGAAGAACACCAAACAAACACGGAGGGGAAAAAGGGCCATGAATGCAGGCCGCGTTTTGATTATGACATTAGCGTCTAAACTCAAGACTACAACAGCAAGAATATGGCTTGTGTTTTTTTTTTATTTGGTCTTTGCCTTGAATGTATAAAGAATGTCATGATGTCATCTCACCTCATTTCATTTCTGACAATATTGTGACCTATGAGTGCACCAACTCAGGGTTTTTTCCCCCTACTTTTAGAGAGCAAAAGTGGTATTAATTAAATGTGACCATTTGCACATCAGAAACAAGCTCTCCCTAAAACCCTGCTCTGCTCAGAAAGCAAAGAAGTGCAAGGTGCTGTGACTAAAATGAATTAAATGTACAGAATTTCTGAGGACAGAAAGGAGTGAAAAATGTCCAATTAGCCAAAGAGACGATTACAAAGGGGGGGTCACGACAGTCACCCTGCATAATTCAGCCTTATATCGGCATGCCTACGCTCTGACAACACAGATCCAACTGCAAAGGATCAAATTGACGATAATGTGTGGGAAGTGAACACCGATAAGTATTAAGGGATAGAATTATGGCTCAACAACATGGAGATCCATATCGCAGCAGCAGAGCAATCGAAATGACCAGTATTGGGCTCATAAATTTACTTGCAATGCTAGCTAATAATAACAATCCTTTCTTTTTTTTTTTTTTTTTAAATAGGAAGGCGAAAAAAAAGACAATAAGAAAGAAGTGGAGGAGCAAAAAAAAAAAAGCAAATATTGACAAAAGTTACTCACTAACTTTAATTAGTTTTACGTGTGTGTGTGTGTGTGTGTGTGTGTGTTAATATGACCAGTTTACTGTACTCTTTTTTTTTTTTTTTAAATCAAGTTGTACAGTTTATAGGTTGCATTATTGAAATTTTTTCATGGTGATTTGAATTTTGTGTGTGCTATGTGTGCGTGTTTTTTTTACAGCACAAAAACCTGGCATGTGACCACGGCTGTACAGAATTTATCTCCTTCTCTAGCTTTGTTTTTTTTTTTTACTTCTTGATTGGTCACAACATCTGTATTTGCAAGGTTAATGCTTCTACAGCGTGTTTGCCTATTTGTACGCACATCTGCTGCGATGAGGATAATTCCTTAGTGACTATTAATAGCGCTTTTTAGCTGGCGAGCATACCAGCAGCAGCAGCAGAAGCAGTGACAGAAGCCAGAGCAGTGGAACTAAATTAGCACAGGACACTGAGATAGTCCAAGGTCGGGGTCATGCCCAAACGATATAACCAGGCATGGCAGGTCCATGTAAGCAATGACTCAGTTGCCTAATCCGTTTTAAGAGCAACACTATGACCGCATAAAGGAGAAAAGTGACAGTGATGCATTACAAATACGGTGTAAATATTTAAAAGGATTATTCTGGGTATTCATTTCAGCACATTTACACTAAAGAAGAGCAACTTCGAAGGTCTGATTGGTTAGATGTCTGTGAAAGGGAACCTTTGCCTGATCAATGGGTAGTCTGACAAACATCGGAGTCAATTAGCAAAACCTAATAGAGAAGTGTATATTGTAGCGTTACTTTGATGAGTGAACGGGCACACACCTCGCAGCTACACCCGGCGCCGGTCAAACGTTTGTCTAAACTTGGTCCAAATAAAATGAAGGGTCGCCTCAGTGAAACACCTCAAATAAAAGGATTAGATGGCGCAACGGTGTCATGACAACTATGAGCAGTTTGGTGGTTCTACCAGCACCAAGCCTCAGTTCAGTCGACTGCACGCTGCACCCGAGTGTCGCAAGTGGGTGAGTTCAACAATCAAATACATGTATTGCTAACACTGAATTTAACAGTTAGTCCACTGAAATGCAAATAGTCAGCTCACATTAGCATATGTATTTTGGATATACCCATCGAGCCTGTTTCCTCATCTGCAGTAACGCACACAAATGTGTCCACAACAGGCACACTCTAAACACACACGCGCACGCACACACACACACACACACACACACACACACACACACACACACACACACACACACACCACACACACACACACACACACACACACACACACACTGTACCTGCTGCTAATCTGAATGGGGTAACCAAATTGCTCCCCATTTGAATATATATGAGGTGTCTGCGTTTCAAATGGTTTTTTTTGGGCGTGTTTTTCACAGGACAGAGACGAGATAATAAAATACGAAATGGACTGCAATGATAGTGATTTAATCCAATAAAGTTAAAAAATAATAAGCGGTTACCATCTCCATTTAAATCAGGGGTGTACAAACTGAAGTGCCACATATGGGGAGGAACAAGAAATCAAAATCAAAGGACGCAAGGACTGCTTGAACATTGTTTATTTAACGTTCAACCAATTTGTCAGTCTTGTGAAACATAATGTTTGTGAAGCTAGATTTCATTTTTATACAATGATTTTTCTGAATTTTGGGGTGGCCGGTGGCACGATGGAATGATGACTGACTGGTTGAAAACAAGGAAGTGAGAGATTAACTTCTGTTCTTCGGCCTTGCCGCTCAGTTGCAACGCAGGCAAATGAAACAGCCGTGTCAAATGTTGCTTTAGTCTGTGCTGCGAGCCGCTAAAAATTAATGGCCGTACTTTGGACTTTAGACACTCCGATTTAAAACATGTCAAGGCTTTTGCTGCCACCCCCTAAAAAAATAAAAATGGAAAATCGTTTGGAACTGGAATCGAAACCAGAATCGCTCAAATTCAGAAGGATGCAAATAATAAATTTTCATGTTCTTTATGGATATCATTGTTGATGTTTAATGATGCTAATTGATGTGAAGACGCTGATCATGTTAATGATTTTGTGGGAGCTTTGGTCAGAGATTTGAAAGGGGGGGAGGGCAACATTCAAATTTTGCGAGCAAATGGAAAACTGCAAACACCCCCTTGGAGTTGCAGTAGCGTGAAACACGATTGAAGTTTTGCTGAGCACAAACTTACGTACCCATTGAAATACCAAGGCAGCGCTCTCCTCTGTATTCTTGGATGAAACCAGTAATGAAAATTTTGAATAAACGTTCACAGGCGAACTTGAATGCTGAGAGGAGGTGCATGGCTGCTTTTCACTCCTCTTACAGTTGGACGCGGAGCAATTTTCTGCTCTTTGATTGATTTCAGGCATGGTCAAGTACTTTGTTTCCTAAGTGCCTGATCAACAAAAGTGGAGCCACGATTTTAACCTCGGTGGCATTTTTTTTTTTCAATGACAAGCAACTACTGGTACAGTTCGAAACATGTCATGAACCCTGTCTCTGGGCATACCCACTCTATATTCTTCCTGCATGACCCAACTGCATGTAACGTTACAGCCAATTACCAGCAGCATTATTGGATCTTGACCACGCGATTGATCTCTGGGTACCTAAATTTTGATCCTGGGTATTACATAAAGTGTTTTTGTCGATGCCATAAAAGAACCAAAGTTCTGTACTCAGCTCTTTAACATAAATTCCCCTATATAGAGAGGAAAAAAATGGGCCTTAAAAGGGTGCATTGTGTATGAAGTGCTGTGTGGGTTTTAAGAGTGGATGGGAGAAGTGTGAAAAAGAGCATGGAAAAACATGACATGGCAGAGCAACATTTTCCGATGGGGATTTGGACACTTCAAGTGGTGACTGGCAACACATTTGGGCAGCAGTGCAGCCGGGAGGGGACAGGAGAACCGAGGTGAAGTGTTTTGCTCCACCGGACTTACCTTCTAATCCTTAAACTCCTTTTAAGATTTCAGTTACTTTTCTAAACCAGGGCATTATCATACATACTCTTCTCTCGCTGTGCATGCTTTGAAAAGATATCTGCAAAAGTTTCTGATCATATTACACAAAAAAATAACAAAATAAAAATCACCCATCTATTCCTGTCGTACAAAACAGATTTTCCTCATGTCACAAATCAACCCATACCAGCATGCAATATTGCAATAATAAATCAGCCTTTCTGGTTTGGTCTGTTTTCTTGTGCTAACGAGACTCAACAAGCCATCCGTAACTGTGTTTCGTTGTTGAAAGTCAAGTTGGAGAGTCAAGTTGAAAAGTCAAAGCCACTTTTAAATATCTTGAATCCTTTTGTTTGCAAATTCAACACTTTTAAATACCGTACTTTGAATATGTGAAGCACATCGAGTTACCTTGTGTATCAAATGCGCTCTTTAAAAGATAGCTGTGAGAAAAAACTCACCTTCGTCCATAAGATTTGCAAATAAGGCTTTCGTCTTCTCTTGAAATGTAGGGAACTCTGTAAAGAAAGAAAAAACACCCATGAAAAATTGGTGTATTGACTGACAAAACACACTAAATTTGTTGGTTACAAATAAATGGACAAATGTGTGACAACCTACAGTATATCCACAAGATTCAAATATGGGCGGCCCAGTGGTCGACTGGTTAGCGCGCCAGCCTCACAGTGCAGAGGTGCAGTATTCGATCCCCCGTGATTGCATGGGTTTTCTCCGGGTACTGCGGTTTCCTCCCACATTCCAAAACATGAGTGGCAGGTTAATGGAACACTCTAAATGGTCTCTAGGTATGAGTGCGAGTGCGGATGGTTGTTCGTCTATGTGTGCCCTGCGATTGGCTGGCGACCGGTTCAGGGTGTCACCCCCTGCTGCTCGAAGACATCTGGGATAGGCTCCAGCACCCGCTGCGACCCTTGTGAGGATAAGCGGATCAGGAGAAAAAAAAAAAATACTGTTACCAGTCTCATTTTGTAGCAAATAGTCCTAATTTTGTGATGCGTCTTGTTATACGGTATTTTGTTCGTATACTTGCAGTGTTTGCTGCAGTTTTTGTGTTATGAACAGTTTTAGGACCATATATTTTTGCATTTTAGTGCTTGTGTTGTTAGCCATTTCCCACAAAAAGAAATTCTGTTTTAAGGAAAGATTGGACAACGCAAATATGATTCCTTACGTGTGTGTGTGTGTGTGTGTATATATATATATATATATATATAAACATAATTGAAAAAATATTGTGGTAGTTCGTCGGACATGTGATCTTAAACAGTGGTTCTTAACCTTGTCGGAGGTACCAAACCCAACCAATTCATATGCACATTCACCGAACCCTTCATTAGTGAAACATAAAAATATGATTCAAGAAGTGTTCCTTCAGTTTTGAGTTGCTCAACTTGCATTACAAATCATGCAGATAGGACGCTGAGTCCTATCACGTTTCATGATGCATGTGAATCCATCTTGTGCATATTTATATGACCGCTTTCTTTTTTTGCCGACATAGCATGTATTTTAAAAAAATTCTTAAAAAAAAAATTTTTTTAAAAATCACAGGATGTACTATCACGACAGTCACACGTTGACGACTGAGCGAACTAAATTTCCTGCAGCACTGATTGGACAAGCCATGTAATGTGATCATTTGCAGCAGGCATGTCATAACTAATTGACATGTTGAGTCGGGTGTGTTTTAACCTCCATGGCAGAGGCTCCGTCGAACCCCTGAGACCGACTCACCGAACCCCTGGGGTTCGATCGAACCCAGGTTGAGATCCACTGATATAAAATGACCTATATTGCGATCGATCCCCCCCCACACACTTTCACCCCAATAATCGCTCTACTGCAGATAATGGACAGACTGCTTTCTGCTCCAAATCATTCTGCAAATGAAGTTTGAAGCTTAATAAGTCTGTCAATGCGTGTTCAACCCAACCAATGTCACATGAATAATGACAAATCACTGACACTTTTCGGAGCATGCATGTGTCAAATAAAAACATAACAGCAGTTACGCGGTAATCTTTCAGGGTTATAGCCTTCAATGGAAAAATGCAATCCCAAAGCAAAACGGTGCCGTTGTGCAGAAGGACTGCTGCAAAACACAGCTTTGGCCATATGGTGTTCCACTGGGGGAAAAAGGTAGTTGGTAAGAGAATGAGGAGGGAAATTCCCGAACTGTTTGACTTCCACAGTCTCCCACTCCTAGAGTGCGGTAGGTGTCACTTTGGGGTGTGGACAGTGTCCAATGTCAGCACTAACAACAAAGTATGCTCACACTGACTCACTCACCACCACCCCTCCACCCGCCCGTCCCCCATATATACGCTAGCCAAATTAATAACTCCATCCCCACTTGCTTCTCTTTTCTTCATGCACCTACTCATGTCAGTGCTGTGTTGGCAGAACTGTTAATTCTGTTGCCACCGTGGACATTCTCTCTCTGAATCTTTCCCTCTGCCACCCCCACCCACCACCACTCCCTCTGCCCAACCGAATGTGGAAAGGCTCAGATTTCAAACTCGCCTGTGTGCAAGCTCTACCACGAGCTGCCCTCTCTGACACCATACCCCATTTTCTTTTCACAATGTACTGCTTATTGCAAACAGCCTGAACACATGGCCTTCAGCTTTGAAAGACAGCATGGCCATTCAAACTAATTCCCGCCCAAATGTATGTATAGCATATTTTTAGGACTATGAAACACTCCGAGAGTATAAGTCGCATTTTGGAGGGGAAATTTGTTTTGCTAAAGCCAAGGCGGAGAACAGCGGAGTTTGGACTCTCGCCCGGGGGGGGACCCATTCCCTCATCGTGGCAGATTGGGAATTACATTTCGAACGCATACTGCTTGACTGCGACCATTCGGAATCTCAAAGCGTTGTTCAAATGTGACTGTTTTTCAGAGTGCCTCAAAACAGGAAAGCTGAAGACCAGTGTGTCAGGCAGTACAGATGTAAACAATTCAAACATGAGCTACCTATTTGACTTCTTACATATGCTGCAGTTGATGGGATGGGGGTATGCTCTGCCTCTCCAAAACGCACTCTGTACTGACAGCAGCAAACAAGTTTGGGATGGATGAAACTTCCGCATTTAAATAATGGAAAACTTTTTCTTTTTAGTTTAAAATGGCTTACCTTACTCAACTCCTACGTTCCATTGTGGACAAAGGTTGCCTATTGCGCCTTCTAGTGCTGTAAATCTTTGTTGTGGCATAAGGAAGCTGCAATCGTAAGTGGTATGTCACACAATCATTACCACGACGACTGTTATTTCTGAAGCTTCCATTTCTTTGTTCTTTTCGTGGTTGGCAAGTACTCTTGGTGCATTACTGTTAACTTCTTTAGCATGCTACAAAGAAGGATGCCCACCGGTGGTAATGAATGACTACGACAACTTCTTCCATTTCTTCTACAGTACTTTCTTTTGGGGGTTGGTGAGCGCTTTTGATGCATTGCCGCCACCTTCTGGCGGCCAGCGGGGATGCAACAAAAGCATTCTCCAACTGCAAAAAGAAAGTTGACACTGTTGGAGAAGGGAGATTTTGGGTGCCAGTGCCAGCTTCGATTTTAATACATACAAGTTGCATCCTAGTATAAATCACAGGACCAACCAAATTATGAAAAAAGTATGACACTCCGAAAAATACAATAATTGCATTATTTTTTTTAAAAAAAAAAGCTTATATGTGATACGAAACGTTAAAGCATCTGCTAGTTGAATACTTAAAAGTCAGAATGTTAGACATATTTGAACAAACACATGCAGCCATCATTTAGAAGAAACCCCAACTAGAACAACAAACAGGTCTCACAATAGAAATTCCACAAACGCAATATTAATTCAAATGCCGTGTGCGGCTGCATAGAAAATGTGATTTTTTTTTTTTTTAATGACTTCCCTTTTAAGAAAACAGTGGGAGGATGCGGTTGGAAGAGTCCATCTGCCCAAAGACCCGCAGCTGTGCTCTCATCATTTTAGCCCAGACGCCAGACGCATTCAAGGCCTTTCATCGCCCTCAGCTGATGAGAGCTCACTCGTGTGTCTGGCTGTAAATGAGAGTTAAAACAAAATGCAGGGCCTACCATAGTGAAACCCAACCCTAAAAGACGTGAAAGACAGGAGGTGTACGTAGACAATGCTTAGTCTTCAGTAGCTACACTTATGGACAACCCCCGGGCCACCGGAGTCGCAATGGAGGAAACGTGCAACACTCAATGCCAGTCAAGAAGCCTGACATTTGTAAATCTACAATGGTCACCTCTTGAGACAGATGAATCCACTCATACAGAGACATGCATGACCGAATCACGGACCTCAACTTCACAGACAGTACATGTATGGTGTATTAGAACAATGCTTATCGGTGACCATTTTATAATTTCACGTGGGTGAAATAACAACAGCTTGTGGCTAAAATGCAGCAAATTACGTACTGCATCGGGTACATTCAAATAATGAATTTGACCCCAACAACTCTCTTATTCTCGTTCATGTATTCTTCTAATTGTCATTTTTTTTCTGTTTTCCAGTCCAAGGGGAATTTAAACTCATTGTGTAGCGTGCGGCAGGCCTTGCATTCTTGACAAACTGCATAAGGACATGGTCTATTCTATCAAATCAGTGCTCATTGTTTTTTGTTTTTTTTGTTTGTTTTGTAACACTGTCAAAATGAACTCACGGTTCTATATGTTTCAGTTTCTTTAAGCACTAAATTTGATGATACACATATTGAACAATTCTAAATGTGTATTGGTCCATCTCAGGCGGGGTTTTTTTTATGTCACTATTTTTGTAGTGAAAATCGTTGTGCGTTTGCAGCATGAATATTATATTAAATACAGGAACTATAGCCCTGGCGTTTGCGCTAATTAAATGTTAACTTTAAACCTAATACATATCAATGTGGAGGATGCTTTATCAAAATGTATTTTCATGTAATTGCCTGCGGACGCTAATACCACTGATTTGGTGGAATCGCACATATAAGCTTTAACAGAATGGGGACATCCTCTGTTAGAGTGCATTTAATTTGTTCAAACAATACATCGACATCATTTTTATGAACAGGCTTGTACAGGCTAAAATGAAGAGTCTAAGCAGATACACAGTTGTTCTCCCATTTAAAAAAAAAAAACATTATTTATGACCTTGTGAAATGCAAACCATAGGTAACAAGCTTGCTTGTCACCAAATAATTTACACTCGTTAAACTTCTGTTTCAAGTTAAGTCGTTTGGAAATGTCAAATCTGTCACGAACCTGTCTGTCGCTCTCTCAAGTCTTTGGTGATGCCATTTAGCGAGGCTTCTTTTTGATCAGGCAAAACAGAAGTATCTTTCAGTTTGCCTTTCACTTCAAACAATCTTCAAATTTAAACCCGCCGCTCTGCTGCTGCCTCTTAGGGAGCTGAGCGCAGGGGATCTTTGTGTGTGTGTGTGTGTGTGTGTGTGTGTGTGTGTGTGTGTGTGTGTGTGTGTCCGTCCCTGCCGCTCTGT